CAGAGCTACCGGAACCTGGGCCGGTGGGGCCACCGAAGCTCGCACGACGTCCGGTTTGTGCTGCCGCACACGGTGGAGGCGGGGGAGACCGCTGGGGAAGAAAATTCGCGCTTCGAGGATCGGGAGGAGGCGTCGGGGCGGAAAGAAGGGGAGAACGGGTTGACGCGGCACATTTCGTTGGGGGCGGGGCAGGCCCCCCGGCTGAACGGCCTTTCGGACGGGGCGGTGATGTCAAGAGCCGCAAACGGATTTGGCCATTCGAGCGGAGGTTTAGGAGGGGGGCACAAGGGGCTCCGGCCAGGGGGGGGAAAAGAGGACGGCAGGCCACGTGTCGTACGGATGGTGGACCGGTTGCACCGGACGGCGCCTGCTGAGCTGGACAGTGGCAGCCTGCCCGGGCGCAAGCTTCGAAGCAAGGGGTTTCTGAGGTCCGCCTCCGAGAGGTTGCGTGCGCAAGGAAGCAATGGGGTCGGAGAGCGTGGGAACGGCTGGTCGAGGTTGTCCGAGGGGAGTGCCCCAGCCGAGAGCGGCCATGCGACGTCTGAGAAGGGGAGAGAGGTCGTGAAGATCGAGAGGGAGACAGCCGAAGAATGCGCTCTGCAGGGGGATGAAGCCCTGAGTCGAGAAGCACATGGGTCCGCAACGACTGCCGGCCCAAGCCACGTGGCTGACCTTCCAAACGGACACGTGGCAGACGAGGAGAGAGAGCGGGAGAGGGAGGCTGCGGAGCTCGATGAAGTGGGGCAACTGGTAGAAAGCTTCCGGGGACGACCGAGCAGTCGGGGATTACGCGAACACGAGCAGGGAGCGGATGCGCTGAATAGTGGGGTGGGAAACGGGGATGCAGACGGGAGTCAGTTTGGAAGCGAGGCTTTGGGAGATGGGGGTCTGGAAGGAACGGAGGACGCTTCTCCAAAGCTGCCAGAAAGCATGGGGCGACGCGTCTCGAGCACTGGGCAGCCGATCGGCGACATTCCCCTGGGGCAAGGAATCCAGAAGCTGGCCAAATCGGATAGGATCACCGTTGAAGCGTTGGAGAAAGCGACTGAAGAGCTGTCGGGTACGGGGGTGGTGTGTGCGGAGGAATGTTTGCGACAATTGCTGGAGTCAAAGATAGGAGCCCATGAAAGAGCTAGGGCAGAGCACGAAGTGGGGGACTCAGGAAAGGGACAGGCAATGGCAAGTGCGGGCCGTCCCAGGCGGAAGAAGTCCCTGGAAGCTTTCGGTTCGTTTGTTGCGAAGGGTGAGCTTCCGGTTCCTTAGTGGCGAAGACCGCTTGAATCTTTTTGTACCATGAAACTGCAGAAAAGCTCGTGCGTAATAATGGCTAAGCGATTACAGGATGCTGAACTAGCGTATGTAGATTATGCAAACCGATTACATGTACAGTGTTAGCTTGCAAATACGGCCGTCAAAGCAATCAGTGAAATGCTACAGCGAACTTCAACTGGACGAATCTGCAAGCTTGTAGGTAATTCTTTCTTCAGCTGAACGGCACTATTAGACGCGGAAGCTTGAAGCTAGCTACTATAAAAGTTGAGGCCCGAGTTCAACGCCGAGAGTATCCAAGAAAGCAGGTCGTTGGATATTGACAATCAAGCCTGGATGATTTACTTGTAACGGACGCGGAGTTCATTGCGTTTCAGGGATCTAGTAATAGCCAGGTAAAGAGGCTTATTCAGCCGACCTCTTTAAACTTTTAGCAACTCGGACTGAGCACGTACTCGATTGAACTACAAGGGCCGTCCAGGGTGGTTTACAGGCGCTCAGTTCAGTCTGCCCCTCTGTTCACCTCATCTTAAGGTTGCCAGTCGGAGCAAGAAGAATGTATTGTTATGCACGTGTCACAAAAGGGGACAAGTCCTCACTTAGAAGAGCTCGAATTAACGGTTCCGATCATGTGTGCACACGCGAGCTGCATATAGTTCCGCGTCACATTGACCATGAGCGATCGCCCTTCGCCGGAACACGCATAGCATCACTTTGTCAGATCGCGCTAGGCAGTATAGATGCCAGAATTTTTAAGTCGCTCTACGTACAGCCATACATGCAAAGCGCCCGCGCCGGGCCCTATCCCCGGCCGGCCAGAGCTTGGACCACTGGGCTGATGTGATGATGTTAATTGGGCCAGGAGCATTCATTCACCAAAATCGTGCATATCGGCATGTAGATTTAAAGTTGGCATGGAAGCTCCGATCGCATGCATGTGCTCAGCTGTGCCGCGCGGCCGGCAGCTAGCTGCCTAGCTCCGGCCCGCGTCAATTGAGAGGCACTCGATCAACGGCTTTGCAGGTCAACAAACGTGCATAGGACCCATGAACCCTTCCATGGCTTTCTCGGCCCCGGCAACAACGAGCTTGGTTTGATGCCGGGCAGGGTGCCGGTCTGGCCTATCGCCGCAGGGAAATCCCTCAAGAACGTTTCACTTCTTGGGAAATCTGCGTTACACACTCGGCTCACGGCATGCTGGCATGTGTACAGCAGGGGCGCGCATATTTAGCAGCCAGACCGTGCTCATGCTCTATGATGTACCTATCGGCTGGTCAAGTCGGAGCTCATAAGTCATGCACTCCGTGCATGCGTCAGAGGTGACACTGCCGGACAGCTGCGCTGCACAGCATGCACTCGACGAGCTCGTGCCCGGGCATCGTCTGCACCGGTTGTTTCCTTTTGCAAACATGCAATCAACATGCATGTGGATCTCAAGCTGCCTCACTGTGACATCCTTCGAATGACAAAAGGCTCTTGACTCTGCTCCTAAAACTACTCTGTCGTATTACTCCAGCAGGTAGTTGTATCTTGATGCTCATCTCCTGTTCAAAGAGACACCATGGCCGCCCTGAAAAGGATAATTTGGCGGGCTTTGCAGCGGCGTAGTGGCGGCTAGGAACGCGGAATGTCGAGCACCTTCCTATTATATAACCACTGCAATCTGAGGTTATTCACATCAAGTGCAAGGTCCCTACGTGACCCGTCAGCCAGCGAACGACTTCGGAGGGAACCCTTCGCGCAGAAAGCCGTCATTCAAAATCCTCCAACCAAGAGAAGAAACCGGCCCAGGGGAACTAGAATGGCGGACCTGGGCGTGCCCGAAGAGACGACGGAGTACCGGGACCCGCCGGACGTGCTTCAGAAGAAGATCAAACAGCTGGCAAATCTGATCAAACAGGTACGGCAGCTTATTGATTCCAAGCGCTGCATACTATCCTGCCACTACACTGCCAGGTATGGTATACAGGCTGGGAATGTATTGGCTTCTGCTCAAATTTTGGCCCCGTGTTCCTAACTTTCCGATTGCTCAGTGAACTGTGAGAAGCCGCTTCTAAAGTGCATGAAAGCTTGGAAAGGAGCATGGCTGCATACAAGCCCCCAGGCATGGTTGCTGGATGCAATGAGCAGAGATGGAGTATGCTAAAGGCACACAAATTTGAAGACAGCTGTCTTCGAGCTTTGCTCCATTACAAGGCTGCCTTTCTTTCTTTGACAAGCTGGACTTCGAGGCCTTTCAGGGTGGACTACAAAGCTGTCAATTAATTTGCATGTCTGCAACCTTTGTGGTTGCTTGGGCAAGAGAGAGTACATAAAGACGTGCAGCTCTGAAGTCGTAATCGAAAGTCTGAGGGCTCCGTGATTCTGCCTTCCCGTGATTCTTCTTACGGAGTAGCAAGTTTGTTGTTTGTTGTACATCTTTTACTCTGTAAGAAGCCAGCTGAACCCCACTTAAATTGCAACAGGATGTTTTCTTTTATTTTTCCACCAGCTTGCGCATCTCTAAACGTTCAACTGTGAAAGCTATCACAGCCACAGCTTGGGCTCTGCTCGAAGCGCCTTGCCTCCTTCATGTGACCTTCGAGGTAGGGCGCAAAAGGCCTGGAAGATTATTTTTCGAGCCACTGAGCTTTTCCTGAAGGTGGTGAACACTGACCTGTTAATCCTCAGCAATCAATACAACGAAATCCATGTTTCGCAGAGTCAGTACATGGTGGCATACACTGGCGCAGGCATCAGTACCAGCACGGGCATCCCTGACTTCCGTGGGCCTCAGGTATATTGACTTTTAGGTCTTAACGTTAGATTACCGCGGGCGTTAGGTATGTAGACTTTTAGGTCTTGACGTCAGATTTCCGGGGGCGTTAAGTGTTTCGACTCTCAGGGCTTGACGTCAGAATACCGTGGGGCTCAGGTATGTAGATTTTTAGGTCTTGACGTCAGATTTCCGGGGGCGTTAAGTGTGTCGACTTTCAGTTCTTGACGTCAGATTTCCGTAGGCCTCAGATATGTAGACTTTTAGGTCCTGACGTCAGAATACCGTGGGCGTTGAGTATGCGGACCTTCAGGTCTTGACGTCAGATTTCCGTGGGCGTTAAGAATGTCGACCCTCAGAGCTTGACGTATTTGACTTCGAATATCTGCTTTCAGAATAAGATGTGCTTGGAAACATGTTTTCTTGGGGTGCTTTGTGTTCAATGTCTGGATGATCCAGAAGGCTGGAGGATATTTAACGGTTCTGAGGGTTAATTCAGGACTAAATGATCTTAGATATAGCTGCTAGAGCAGAACACTTGGCCTTGGCGTCGAGATACTGACAGTCGATTGATACGGCAATACATCTCAACGGCGATTGTGACGTTCGTTCAACGCGCACTGTCTGCTGCTTTTGGAATGAAAACTCTCTCTCAATGCTTTGAGCCTAGTCTGTGCACCCAGGCATTCTCCTCTAGCCCGACAATTAGAAGGCAAATCCTCAACCGCATCTGGTCACTCTGTCAACTCGCTTGGACCGTTCAGCGGATCGGCCGCTGGGCCAACAGGATCTTTCCGATATTGAGACATTGTCTCCCGGGGCCGTTGCTTTCGCACTCCATATATCAAGGGACCCAATCGCCATGCAAAAATACAGCTAACCCGTTTTCTTAACCCCTATTTCTCCCACCGCCAGGGCGTCTGGACCCTCCGCGCCAAGGGCCTGTCCGCGTCGCGTGCCCCCCGGGCGGGCCGCCCCCGGCCGTCCCTGACGCACATGGCCCTGGCGGAGCTGCAGAACCGGGGGAAGCTGAAGTACGTGGTCAGCCAGAACACGGACGGTATGCACCGCAGGTGGGGCTCACTTGGAACCCGGTACGTTTTACCAGAGAAAGGCTGCGGCCGATTTGCAAGGGAGATTCTGGTCCGGCCCATTTGATTGATCTTTGTTTTTAAAGGACGTTACGGACAAGCTCCTCTCACTTTCGTCGATTTCAATTAGTCGGTGGCAACTTCGAAGAGGTTTCTCGCGAACGAGAAGAGACGCATGGATGTCGAATCTGATGAAGTTTCTCTTTCGTTTCGAACAGTCTGGGAATCACTGCAATCAGGAAGCAAAGCCGCAAGGTTGCGACGGGGCTCGTACTCTAGTTGGCTGCCTCTGAGAAGGGAGAGGCTGCAAGGATCGTACGTTTCTAGGGCCGACGGAAGTCTCATCGATTATAACATTTAAGTGTGAAGACGGTTGCGGGGATAGAGACGACGCAAAATCATGATCAGCGAATCGTGGTGACTGCAAACATCTGTTGTGAAGGATCCCAACCGGTTGCCGCCTTTCGCTCCGAAGAAGAGAGGTTGTTGAGCCGATCCATGTGTTTCCTCAAGTCTTCTTGCGCTCCAGTGTTGAGATGCGGTTCCAGGCACTGCATCAGGGTGCAACTCAAATCACGGAGACAACAGTCCCTCCACGGATCGACTCGTACGCGACGAGTCGATCAGGAAAAGGTGCAGCAAGCAATACAGGCAATACAAGCGAATAAGCTCCTGTTCTCTCTCCTGATTGTCGTGACACACGTGCGCGCGCGCAGGTCGGGCATCGCGAAGAGCAAGCTGGCGGAGCTGCACGGCAACACGAACATGGAGATCTGCCGCAACTGCGGCCGCGAGTACTGGCGCCCCTTCTCCACGCGCGAGGCGCGCGACGTGCTGGACCACCGCACCAGCCGCAAGTGAGGATTCTGAAGTTTCCTATTCTGGATTCTACGTTTCCAGAACACGATGTCAGAACACGATGTTTTGCCTGAGGGTGACCGAGTTGGTGGCTTTGAGAAAATCAGTTGCACCCGTTTTAACATCGTCATACGTCTTTCGATTGGTTGTCAGATCTCCTGAGATGATCCGAGGAGAGTCGAACGCAGCATTAGCTGCCGCGCTCGAAGCTTCGGTACTGAAGCCGCTTTGTCGCACGGTACTCCTTTCATGGCACAAACAGATTTTTGAGATTTTTTTTCACCGCCTTTTCAATCTCACAAAAGCTCTCGCAGGATGGCTGTAGACGATGACTGCCCGTCAAAGCCGTTCGGTCCCGCGAAAGACTTCGCCATCGATCTTGGAAGCTGTTCGTCTCGTTTCCTTTCGGCAAGAGAATATAAACATGAAAGTACTGAACGCCTCGGCTAAAACCAGATTTATACCCAAAGAATACCTGCTCCGCACACCTATATTCTCTTCTCAGGTTCCCCCAAACTGATTTCACCCGTCCTACTGTGCCCTTGAATTGATTTCGGCCATCGCACTGTGACTGCTCTTCATCTCGCCAGAGGCACAAACGCTTTTTCCTCAGGTGCGACAAGTGCGGGCATCAGTTACACGACACGATCGTCAACTTCAGCGAGCCGCTGCCGTCGGGGACTCTCCACCGGGCGATGGAGCACAGCGACCGGGCGGACCTGGGCCTCGTGCTGGGGACGTCCATGCGGGTCTCGCCCGCGGCGGACCTGCCCATCCGCATTGTGAGTGCTTCTAAAGGTTGCTTATGATGGGACTGTTCGTGAGAGCTTTGCGCATTGTAAATTCGGAGATCCATTCATGGTGGAATTATCCATCTGCGTAGTGAGCGCGTCGCGGCTCTAAAGTTTCTGTTTCGCGGTAGAAGTACCCCATCCATCCGCATTGCGTGAGCTTACGATGATGAGAACTCGTTATTCCGGGTAGGATGAAGAAAGTTGTCGACATTTCTCTCAAGGATCTTTGTCCATGGCGCATGGAAACATTTGGGACTTGCGTGTTTCAATGCGCTTTAATGGACTTCGCAATCTGAGTTGGTCGGGCTTTCGAATTGGCCGGCGTTTGATGGTGATTCGAGCTCGAATGAACTGGTTAAAAAAAGGTTTGCACCTGTTCGGAGCGGTCCAGAAAGTATACTGCCTCGTAGAAACAGGGTTTTTTGGGGTTCAATTCTCACTTTGTTATGCTGCGTTTTCAGACTTCCTTAAAATTGCAGAAGTGTGACGGATCGTGGGCTTCCTAAATTTGAGGCTCTTCTGAGAAGAAGTGAGGATGTCTGGCATGCTTCTTTGCAACTCATGATCAGGCAATCATCTTATTTGGGCTGGAGCTTTCTTAAGCAGAAAGTTTCCAAAAGCCCCTAGACTCAAAACCCGCCCCAAGAGTCTACCATCCCGTCGCCGTGTTGACCACCCGCTGATCAGTACGTCTGGTTGAACGAAAACATGCCAATCATTGGCCGTTCCGGTGCAGGTCCGGCACCGGAAGCCGCTGGTGATCGTGAACCTGCAGAAGACGCCGGCGGATGAGCTGGCGGCGGTGTGCATCTTCGGCAAGACCGACGAAGTAATGGAGGGCGTCATGCGCGAGCTCGGGATCGACATCCCGCCCACGTACGACCTGCTGGACGAGCCGCGGGAGAAGCAACCCGAGCGGTGATGTGCAGAAAAAGGTTACGGAATGCTAAGATGGTTCGGAAGCTTCGCGGAAAGCGTATAAGGATAGGAGGGGGAGGTCGAATAGAAGGGTTACGCTGAGAAACGTTCAAAGGTTGTGGATAATGCTTCAGCGGAAGGTGTGTTTGTAGAGTCTTGAAGTAGTTACTAGAAGACGGTTATGTGATAGGAAAGCGACATCGGAGGAACATACCAGTGTCAGTTCGGCAAAAGCATGTAAAAATTAGGAAAGTTTGTACAGGGTCACAAAGAGGTTGTGGGCAGATGTGATAAGATAGTTCGATCATTTTGCAGCGGACGAGGTAAAAAAAAAGCTCCTGCATAATTGATGTTTAGACGAGTATGGGTACTTACGTATCTGAAGACAAATAGACCGTGCTTAAAATGCGAGATGGTTCTCAGATCTCTCCAATTCAAATTAATGCGCATGTGCATGCCAGTAACCGTCGTATTGTAGCACGCTCTAAGGAAAATTTCAGAAAAGTGAGAATGTCAGAATCACGAATTTGCAGCGGAGGAACTATCGAACCGTTGTACAGATTTGCAGCGGAGAAACCATCGAACTTTCGTATACTGAAGATATAGTCTTGAAGAAAATTAGCGGAGAGGGGAACACATTCTTGAAGAGTCGACTAAGGTACTACTTGACCGCAGAGAATTACAATAGCTATGTCTTTGAAGATGCATGTCTTAAATTGGCGCATGCAGTACGATCGAGGTAGCTACGGTATAGAGATAACTGAATGGCACAATGGCCCTAACTGACGCAGGCTGAGTCCGGTCCGCCCGATGTGCTTCTTGCACGCTCGCGTCCAAACGTTTGCGTCCAACGTGTGGGTTGAGGAGGGTTTGGAGCCGTTAACGGGGTTCGGCGCGAAGGGGATCACCTTATGGGGTACGCCTTGCAAGTCCTGGCCCGGCCGGTTTTGGTGCTTCACCGAAGTTGAACAAACACCTAATCAAGAAAATTGATATACCCGACCTAAAGATGCACAGAAAGACTCGGAAGCCAGCTTTCAATAATGCAATGCATAGACTCCGGTATGCAGGCTGTAACGTCATTTGATATCGTGCAACATACAGAAAGCCCCGCGAGGCTGAGGCTTGTTCAGCGCTCTGTCGAGTCTGTGCTAGGAACGCAGACGGCGCCACGGTGGCACCTCAGAAAAAAAAATGGCTGCCGTTGCTTCCCTTGCCGCTGTCTCATGCAAAGCCCTACGTAACAAGAAGCAAGGCCTGATTGGGCGGAGAAGCCCGTGCAAATTTTTTGCTGGGGGCCAGAAGAGGAGGGCACTTCCTGATTCTCACGCTGAGGAGGCGAACGTCGCCCAGACTCAGGATAATAAGCTGAACACTTCCACGCTCTTGCGAAAGTATGGCATTAAGGCGCTTGAGTTTGCAGAGCCCGTCTCAGCATACCAGCTCGAGGTGCTCTCTGAGCATTTTCCTGGCTGCAAATTAGAAACTCGGGGCAACAGAGTGACGATTGCATTATAGGATGCGCTCTTGGCGGTGAGATTGTCCGCCAGCTCGGAAATTGGGCAAGTGATATCAGAAAGTCCGATAGAAAGGTTTTCTTTGTGGGTGGGGGCGACACTGCCTTCAGTATTGAAGTGTACGAAAGGGTCAAGGTTCTGGAGGACTTATCTGACATCTACTTAAAGGAGCAGAAGGCTTTGCTGGTGCCAGCCGCATGGCTGATGTCTCGCTCTTCTTTCGGAGAAGTGGTGAACAGGGAGGAGCCTCAGCTTAATGGCTGCCCGAATGCTCTGCTGGTCGAGATGCTTCCACCGAGCACTGACAGCACTGACGCGAGCTCGGTAAGTTCAAGAGAAATCTTCATGCTACTGGCATTGTTGCTGTTGCAAGCTCTGCTTGTTCATCGGTCCGGGTTGCCGTGTTGAAGGTTAATAGAAGTGTCCAGCAGCCAGCTGTCAAGTTAAGGCCGCTAGGCATCGGGGTCCGTCTCGAAGGATTCCTGGGTGCTCATTCACCCAGGTGGTTTGTTCAGATATGTCGTTTGTTCACATGTGCGGTTTGTTCAAAGACTAGTTTTGTACTTTTAAGTTTAGATTCTGATCGGCTTTCCAGGTGGACACCGCTGAATCTTTTATAATAGCTTAAAGTCAGCTCAAAATCAGCACGCTTTCTGGTCTATGGCGATCGTCATCAAGCGGCTGCCAGCAGTGCAGGCTGATGGCGGATACTTGGACGCACCGTTGATTATGCAAAGCTTTCAGCACACACCTTCTCGAGAGCTTTTGCCTTGTCGTTGGTTGATGCTCCACGAGATAACTGTCCTCACCTCGTGATCGCCTTCTGGCGCGAGCCACAGAAATGAGAGCATCAACCGCAATTTCGCAGATCAATCGAAGTCAGCCCAACCCAGCGAGGCTTGTGATCTTTTACTTACTGTGCATCAGGCCCTAATGCGCAGAACGTAGTCAAACTTTCTTTTTGTCACCTGAGGCCATCTTTAGTAGATTTAAACAGTATTTTGGAGTGTGGCACGCTTGCATCAGCCGCACCGCCAACTCTTCTCAGTAATAAGTTGGGGTGGGCAGGACTCCTGGTTTCTTTCTTGTTCCACCAGTTCGCGCATCATCGTCAAGCTCTACGTACGCAGACTCACACATTTTACAAGGTGGACGCCGCTTGTTTGTCTTGGCATCTGTGATTCAGTACTGCCTGAGAGCTTTGCATACCCGCATCTCTGCAGATGAAGCAGTCTGTCTTTGACAAGGCGGACGATTGGCTGAGGGCCGGCGCGGCTTTCGTTCTGATCGTCGATCCCTATGGTGAAGAGTTCTACACCTATGACCGAAGGACGTGGATTGAGGGGCGCAAGGAAAGTCCGAAGAGTCTCCGCGGCGCAGAAACGCTCGCTCCTCGGCCCGACCTTTTCCCGGGGCTGGCGATCTCCACGGAGGCAATCCTGAAATCAATCGGGAAGCCCAAGGCGAAAGAATGATACAAGTCAGCACCGTCCATCTCAAAAAATCATGTCGACCCGCGGACAGAATTTGCACTTGAGGCTTCCAATTCAGATTCTTGACCAGCTTGCGCGCCGTCGAGCACTTCGTGTATCTCACCGGCGCGCTGAAGAATGCCCCGACTCCTTTCTCAAAGCTTCCATTCTTCGTGTATCCGACGGAAATGAGCTTTTATGTTTGTTGAGCAATCGCGTAATCGTCTGTAATCGATGACTTGACTGTAGCTGCTTCCATGCATACATATTACGGGGGTGGCTATGTCAAACCGGCCGCTAGTCCGAAGGCAGATCGAGGGCCGCTCGTTTACTCTCATAATAATAAATGCGGCAGTTCAGCTAAAAGACCTTTTGTGGCTGGACTGAGGAGCGTAAGCACGAGTGCTCGCAGAACAATGCATACCAGACCATGAACCCCGAGACGCTTTTGGGTGGTCAATCGCAAACCGTCTGACGGTCTTGGCTACGTGCATTTCACGGTGCTGCGTGCAAAGCCACCAAAAACAAAGGCCCTTAAGCCTGCCTTAAGCTTTTGCACGAGATGCTGCATGACGACCTGACGAGTAAGCTACACCCCGTCGAGCCTCTATACCGTCAGTTAAAGTCGCCTTCATAATGCCCATGTTTTGAGATGGATGCGAAATTCGCTGCTATTAACAATATATTGCACTTCCCGCGTGTGGTTAGCGCGCACACGTAGGCTCTAAGCCTGACGGTAACTGACGGATATAAGAGCGCACTGAGTGCGACCGCCGGCGAAATTCGCGCGGCACATCATCATGCTTGCTCAGGAGCGTACTACGGGAGTGTTGAGTTATAAACATGTTTCCAGGCAATCAAACGCCTCCGGAGGTTGTACGTTATTCTGGTGTCACGCAGCCCCGCTTTTTCCTGCAAACCGCTTCAGCTAAGTGAATGGATAGAAGTTCGTAAAGAGCAGCGTTCCAATCACACTGTAGCCGATGAACGTACCCCAGATCCATCGGTAAATGCTGCCAAACTCCTTCGGAAGGCCTTTTCGGCCTCTACTTATCTCTTTGCTATGGTTTCGTGCCTGCTTCCGATCCCTACACAAACCAGCGGCGTACCAGTATACCACGGGGCTGGCCGACAGAAAGCGTGTCGCAACCTGCGCAGTCGCACAATACGTGTGAACAAGGCGCACTTAAGAATCCAATGAGACTTTGTCGAACACAAAGTAAAGATGTGGAATCCATCAGACGTCAGAACTCGGAGACTGAACTGACTGGAGACTGTGATCCAACAGAAAAAACATCAAGATCTCTTCTGATGGAGGTCGTACTATCACCAGTCGGGGCCTGAAACTATAAACCACACACGTCATCTTCTGATTGGCTTTTCCAGTCTTGGGTTACTTCAAAGAACCGCAAGCTCCACTCTCTAAAGAGCAATGAAGTACTAAGGAGGCCTCCGAACCACAGCAAGTCATATCGCACCCGATCTTTCCACGCAATTCTCCAGCACATCTTATGCCGCCCGGATGCCTTTCCCTCTTCAAACAAAATCCAATCCCAAAGCGCAAGGAAAGCAGGACAACGACGTCATCCAACGGGTCGTCCCACCTGTACGTGCATGATGAGCGTGGCAACGCAGACCATGATTGCCAGCTGGTGCGTGAAGCACAGCACGTCCGGCGAGAAGAAGCCCGCCTCAGGCCCCACTGGCCGCTGCCAGTCCCCCAGCGCAGAAAGCGCCTCCGCAAAAGGCTGCGAGCTCTCTACCCCTCCCCCGTTCCGCTTCGTCAGCAACTGCGAACCGGACATTTTTGACGTACTTCTGTCCCGCTTCGTGCCAGGGTCTCCCGGCGCCCCCGCTTTGTCTTCGCTGCTTGCAATGGCTTTGCCTGGTGGTTCTCTTGTATAGGTGGGCCACAGGTGGAGGAGGAAGAAGCGGGCTGGGTCGTGGAGGGCGTATGATACAACGGCAGCCACGGAGAGGGCGATCATGGGCGAGGCGAGCAGGAAGTTGGGCAGCTGCTGGAGGCGGAAGTAGCGGAGGAAGCCCACGTTCCTGGAGAGACGTCGAGGCAGATTGGGGCGGACGTAGAGAGAAACAACAAGAATCTAAAGTTGGTACTCTGAGCGAAGTTGTTCAAGATGGAGCTAAGGAGTACGTCAGCAAAATGGATCTAAGATGCAACTGGTTCTATTTGAGAGCGACCGAAGGCCCGCACCTACTCAATGTGTCGCAAGGAGACGCAATCAGATGCAATCAGAAGCAATCAGAAGCAGCGTTATCTTTCTTCGTTGCGTGTTGCAAGTCAACTGTTGAGCTCCGCGAATCTTATGATCTGGGCCCGTCAAAACCTTCAACAGTCACTAGTCTTCTTTCCGGTCGGAGGAAACGGAATCGAACTTGAAGTCGTTCGTGGAGATGGAAAAGATGAACATGTACCAGAGACCTTTCAACTTCCCTTAATCATTTTCCTGACGTCTTTTACAAAATTCTCACGATCACCGTAACAGCCCGGCGACACCACTCGACTCTGACGGGTCCATCAGCGATGCTATGATCTTGGCGGCACTTACCAGTACCGGTCTTGGACGTAGCCATAGATGTACGGTATGGTGTTACTGCACCACGGCTGGCGTTGGTCGCCCTTCACGCAAACCTGCTGGTACCCGTATGCTTGGAAGAGGGCAAACGGTGTGCAGACTAGCGCGCTCCAGACCACGCCCCTGAGCACCGCAAAGAGGGCGTAGACGAGTGCAGAGCTTGTGCGAGTGTAAGCGGGAGCTTCGGGCTCCTTCTTCCGTGACAGGGCCTGCGGACAGGATTGTGACGTCACAGGAAGCTGTTATGGACCCGTGCTCATGACAAAGGACGCGTTGTGGACGAGATTGCTCGTCGTCTACTTACGGGCAGAGTGCTTCTTACCTATACTTGAGACGAGGGAGAAAGTCTGAAGACGGCTCAACTTCAAGGTAAGGATCTAACACAGTCCTGAAAAACGAAGAAGATTCTCCAAGAGACACATGGATGTTGCAGCAAAGAGGGCTACATCGTACCTCTAGTGCTTCCTTCCAGTGCTCGGAAGCTGTCGCCGCAGCTTCAAAAACGAAGAAGTACGCGTGCAAGATGCCGTTGGACCGGACGGACGTTGAGGCAGCCAGGAGAAGCAGGGACAAGGCCCTCCTGCGCTGCACCAGGTAGAGCATCCCCGCAAAGGACGCCAGAGCAAAGAGGCTCTCGGTGTAACTGCTCAAGTGCAGTCAAAGATGTCGATTGAAGCTTGACTAGTGCCGGTAGGACCGAAAGGAGGCAATCATTGACAGTTGGTTGGCGGGGCAATCTACTTTTCTAAGTCCTCAACCTAGCAGCAAAGATCCAAGAAGATGGACGTCGACAGCTTACACGATCTAGGGTGGTAACACAGGAGACCCGTCAACAAAGTTTGTGACAAAGGAGGATACACGGAGGAGTAGAAGATTGAGGCTGGATTCCAGCAGTAGAGGAGCGCCGCTCGATACGCCAGCTCTTCATCGCGCAGGGTGGCCAACCCCAATCTGCACATCAGAGTCTTGCTTTCTCAGTATCACTCTTCGAGCTAACCATAGCAGAGGCGATAATTTGGTGGTATGGCTTATGAGATCAGGGCCTGTTTGGAGGTATGCCAGACACTAATTTTCCCTTTGAACCACGCAACAGTCAGTCTGGCATTCGTACCTACCTACCTGTGTAGGAAGACCGCTGATGCAACAAAGGCACAATTTGACAGCAGCAACCCGGAGAGCCAGAGCGTCCCCCGCTCCCCCAAGAGGCCGCTAAGGGGCCACAGAAAGGTTGTCGAAAGTGTGCGCATCACTAGCGGGAGGGCAGGGAAGAATGCAAAGCTCTGCTCAAACTCATAGCCACACTTTGCAATGCGCACAAAGTGCACGGCGTCCCATGTGATGTATCTGTCTAGGGGGCCAGTCACTGGTGAGGTTCCACTTTTGAGCCACAACTTCTGTCTTAGATTGGAATGTGTGTGCAAACAGTCCGCATCAAGCTCAGAGGAGGTGTCATAGTTGTCGGCAAACGAGTGGAAGCAGACTGTGAAGACAACAATAGTTGCCCGCGACAGCAGTGCGGCAGAAAGGATGGAAGGCTTGGAGGGGCCCATGGCGCTTCAATGTGGCCTTGACTACAAGCACTGGTTTGAAGCTTGATGAAGCCACCGCACACCTGGCATCGATTTGGTAGACATTCTTGCACCCCCTTTAATCTCAATAGCCCCCTTCAGGCGCCTTGGGTGCACAGCTTGCAGCGGGTGCTGTGCTCAGGCTTCGAAGCCTCAGCATGTGCAGATCAATCAGCATCACTTCGCGGCGACCGGGTCCGAGTGTCCAGCTCACGAGCGCCTGCGGTTTTGGCGAATGTGAAGGGTCGCATGTCGCCGACCAAAACCCCTAAAACACTATAGTGCACCAGCTGCTGAGCAGTGCCCATACAGTGGCATTGTGGCCCTGTGGGACAGATCAGCTAAATTAGACTCAGATTTCGATGGCGCAAGGTTCAAAATGGCGGAGGTTTTGAAACCAGAACAGACGGGCTTGAAGTTGGGGCGTCAGGCACATGGGGCCAGCCTCGGTCTGAAAGGAGAGAAGTGGTTTCATGCTCCTTGTGGACCTCGGCGGAAGCTGTCGGAATCTGATTAAGCTCAAATCGAAAGGACATTGGCTTGCCAGCCGCAATGTCCTCCACACTGGGCGTTGAAGAGTTTCTGCAGCGGTCATTGCCGGAATGGAATGATGAGACTCGGATGCAAGCCAGGCTCAGAGCTTTCAGCACCCAAGACGAGAATTTCGAATCACATTTTGAGTTTTGGCGCGGTGTCATCTTGCTTGTGGCAAGAGCACATCTTCAAGCGACTATCATCAAGACTGAGGAGGTGAGAACCACACAACCGCGTTGATATCCGTATATGAGAGTTGCATGGTAGGTGAACCTCGTGTCCACCTCCTCCCATGCAGAGATTCCACCTCCTCCCATGCCTCAATAGTACCACCAGGCTATAGTTGCGATGCTGCTTCTGTGCTCTTTACAGAAAGACTTTCAAAGTCTTTCCGTAACATACAAGACTTACTTTAGAATGTCTAATGTTGTCTAAAAACTGATGCAGGTCAGGAATGTGATGTTCAAAAGGGGCGGCCTGAAACCTTTGGGCTTGGACCAGGTTCTGGTAAGAAGTACTTAATAAGGAGGAAGGCCTGCAAACAAGCATGGATATACATTGTACTTGTCTTCTGACTTTCCAGTATTGCATGTTTGCACTTTAAGTCATCTGAAGCCTCGTGGACTTGCCTTCAGGCTCATTAGCAACATGTCATCCATGTTCCACTTGCTCTCTATTGTGTTAATCAACAAAAAAGCCGAAAATAAGGGGGATGCTTAGACCCAATCAGACTGTATTTCAGTAATTTAGAGCAGTCTCAGCCAAAAGCTGATTTTTGGTCCACCCCAGGTCGAAATGCATCGCAGGAGACAGCTGCAAAGTTTCCGTGGACTTATGGGAAGCTACGATCGTTCCTGGATTCGATGGTCTGTTGTACAACTGGCAAGGAGCGCAACAGTGGCCAAGCAAGTTGTTGGCGGTCTTCTTGGAGGGGAAGATGCAAGCGGAATCCGGCTGGATGAGGAGATGGTCATCATGGATCTTTTGAAGGTAACTGATTTTTGCCGAGACTGACGGACCGAAGCGAACTTTACCAAGCACAGGGACTGGGCAACATAAGATAGGCCTGCAGGACTCTTCGTACAAAGAGACTCAGGAAAGTCGTCGACACAGCCTGCATCCACCACACAATCAACACGACTGACCTTCCGCAACCACTGCTTTCCATGCTGCTCAGAGAAATGAACCCTCATATGAGCAGAGGCTGCCACTTTCTTCAGACAATCTCATTCAGAACAGTGCAGTCTCAAAGCTAGGTCGTCGGTATCATTGTTTCCATGTTATCTGTCCACAACGGAGAGATCAGAAAGAGTCCACCATTGAAGCCAGGGCGCCTTTCAGACCCCTGCCTAATGACAGCAGTCTGGTTTCTGCAGGAGCGGGCAGACAAGGTGGAGACTGAGATCACCCCCGCTTCAGGCCACACCGTCCTCCTCCTGGACCCCGTCCTACTTTCCATCCATCAAAACCCCCGGGAGGCGCAGCTCGTACTGCACGAACTGCTGCGACGGCGAAGGGTTGCTCTGGTTTCAACTGTGGCTGCGGGGAAGGAAGTACGCGGAGTCAAGGTTGCGGCCAGAGGGGAGAAACGGGTGCCGGCTGTTACGGATCAGGACCGGCAGCGGGTGCACCTGAAGAGTGCAATGCGGGGCCTGGAGGAACGTGCAGAAGCGCTGATGCGGCGAGCTGCCGAGTGAGTGGTGGAACTGGACCCAAGATCTTGAGCTGCAAGAGCATCAGATAGGTCATAGGCTATCGACCTACTTCTTGATAGCCATGGCATCAGCATATACGACATGTCGGACCAAGAAAATTCTGGACTCACACGTTTGAAGTCGGAAGCGAGTCCGGGCTGGCCCGCCTTCCAGCGCCTTTCGCCGGCCGCTGATAGAGAGTTTTAAAGGACATCAGCGTCTCTCTGACTCCGGCCAAAGAGTGATGTCACCAGCATCGCAGAAACAGGGAAACAGGCTGACAAAACTCCTTCCTCCTAGAAAAATCCTTCCGAAAATCCTTTCAGCGTCCGAGTTTCGTATTGAGATTGCCCAAGTGGCGTCGTTGTGTCTATTCATTCGAGGAAATCCCTTACAGGGCTCGGGAGACGGCTCACAGCGCCGTGAAAAAGAAGGACCGTGCCCTGGGGCTGCGATGCCTGCGACGCTTCAAGCTGTGGGAGGGGGCGGCCCGGCAATGCAACGACTATGCCGCAAAGCTAGAAGAGCTGCTGCTGCAAGTTGACCAAGCTGAGGTGACGCAACAGGTAAGCCTTTTTGACATACCAAATTACATGTCTTGTGCGTTTCTGTATCGACCCAACCCGTCTGCTTGAGGGCGGTTCCAAGAGCTTCGAGTCTGCTTCCGGCTCACTGGGTTCACTGGGTTCACTTTGTTTCAAAACCGCATATATTCCATGCTTCCCATTCTGCACTTTTACTAGGTAGTTCTCTCCGACCACACTGCTGGTCTAAGATCGAGCCACTCTTGGCGGCCAAGGGCAAATGAAAGGTCTCCAAATTCATCTTCTCATCGTTGCTAGAGTTAGTAAATTCAACCGCCCACTTTACCCCCACCTTCCTCCACATGAATTCGGGTTTCGTATCTGGCCCCACACCCTCCTGCAATCTGCTCCGGTGGCAGGTAACGAGTGCGCTGCAGGCCGGGGTGCAGACGCTGCGGGCTTCGACGGTCACCTTGGAGGAGGCTGAGTCGTGCATGCAGCAAGTCGACGGGGCACTCACGAGCCACCAGGAAGTACAGGACACGCTGGGTAAGCCGCTCTATTTCCGCATTTGTTGCTGATGTGACAGCGCGCGCTCACTAGTCGCGGTTGATCCGAAGGCAAGAAAGAAATGACGAAAGCACATTCGAGTTCGGAGGATTGACCTCCTCTCTGTAACCATTTCGTGATTGGCTCTCTTTACTTGCAAAAGTGGATCGAGGTGTCCAGTCGCATTGAAGCTTTTGCGGTTCATCCTCCTATCAGTGTCAGAATTTCGTTTAGAAAGGACGCAATGCCGGCATTATGAAAGACAAGCTACGGTGTGTGAAGTAAGATTGATTCTTCACCACAGGACTCGGCGCCGGAGAAAACTCGGATGCAATCGACTCGGAGCTGGCAGAGATCGAAGCGGAGATTGCGATGGAAGGGCTGAGCCTGGACTCGGCCAAGAAGGTGAAACCAAAAAAAGATGCAGAGGCGACTTCGATTCCTGGGGACACAGAAGCATCGGCGTCTCAAACGGTGGTTCAGATCTCGTCAATAGGAGACTGGCAAGCAGGTGCGCCGGAACCGAGTGGATCAGCGGAGTTGTCAGTTGCTAGGGCGGCACAAGGAGCGCCCACAAAAGGTGAGAACATGCAAAGCGAGCGAACATCCGCTTGATCTTGCACGCAAAGCTGGATCAGACGCACGTTGGGGGCCGCTATGTAGTCGACTTTTGCAGGTGATGTACAGACTGATACACTGTGTACATACTGGTGATTCAATAGGTCTTCTTCCTCCTGATAAGGTCATAAGTACAATCATACGAGTCATTCAATCATATATATATAGCCATGCAGGCTTGATTTCTAGAGGGTGCATGTCGGACATGTGCCTACAGCCAGACCCCGATTCGCGATCGTAGCAGTATCATTGCCTCAAGAAATCACAGGATATCGTGATGATGGATATATATGGCCGCGACCAAACTCATGAATGCAATAGAATGTGTATGGTAGCGACGCCGCCGCCGCTACGGCCCCGGATGTACATATGTTCCTAGCCAGATTCAGGCATCGCGCCGCCCAGGCTACTGAGCTGCAGGTTTGACCGATGCAGTCGTCCAACTTTGATGCATGTCAATCACTCATGATGCATGATAATCGTCCAACATTGAGACTTCTCAGCCGCAGGCTGCCGCGTGCAGCAGGATCATGCAGACGAACAGCCGCGTCACAAACAACGGCTGTAACGAGTGACTTTTTCAAACCTGTGCACCAGAATTGTTTTTTCCCTAACTACACCCCGACATCACCGATAACTCAAATTCGCTGCTTGCTCGTGATAGTGGACAACTGGGGCGAAGCTGGCCGCATACCAACCTTCGACCAATCTATGTGCGCCAGGCTTCGCCTCCTGGGTTCCCTACTCTCACCTTCACAATTCAACGACTGCCCCCCATCACCACTAAGCTTTTGGTCGACACTTCCCCCACTGCAATACGATGTGCTGCTTTCCCTATGTACGACGCTCGAGTCCTTCTCAACTCGAGCTCGTTTCGGCTGTCTATGACTCGCTAGTGCCGAATGCTCGACATCTGCCCCCTTTTCGTTTAGCACCGGCTCCTCCCTCTTTTCGCGCTGTGCTTCGAAAGCAGCCTTCTCAGCCGCAGCTTGCTCAGCCCTGACTGACTCTTTGCGAGCCGCATCTCTCCTTCGACTTTGCCGCTCCTCCGCGAGGGCAGTCACAGGGTCGTATTGTAAGTGCGCCACCCGGCTGTCAATCTCGTCCGCCTCCGCGAGCTTCCGTTTCTGCCAAAGGATACCACACCTCATCAAATACTAAGAAGTTCTGGATCCGCAATTTCGACAGGTAAGCGAACGCTGATTAGACCGAAGGAGGACATGTATAGCGAACCAACTCCACTAAGAATCTCTAACTGCTAGCTCGAGTTTGACACTGACACCTCACGCCCCACCTTTCGCTGAAAACGGGGGCACCTAGTCAAGGAGACGCATCAGTGCTGCCGGTCTTCTCCCTGTTTCATTCCACGACAGAATCCATCATGTTCAAAGGCAAGCCATCTCAAATACTTGAATGCAACAAGTGCAACCGTTCACAAATTCTCTATCCCCACCTTGCTTCTCCGCAGCTGCGCAATCCGCAGCTCACACACCGCCAGCTCGTGCCGCAGGGCTTCAGCCTGGGCGCCGATGGGGACAGCTTGCTGCTCCAAGAGGTCAGACAGCCGATTGTGCACGGCGACCGGCTGCCAGACCTGGACCGCAGCGGACGCCTGCCTGGAAGCACCCGAAATTCCTCAGCCATTTGAGTGAGCAGTGCACCAGTTTGAAGAAGGAAAGCACTAGAACCAGGTTTAGCATGGCAGTGAAACTCCTATGAGAGTCTTACTGGTCGCCTGTCCTCGAACCGGGAGTTTCGTGGAAGAGGCGTTTGAATATCAAACAATGGAAGCTCTGTGAAAGAGGCGTTTTGGGCCCTTCCACCATCCCCTGTCTGGTTGCTCCAAGAGTTCTTGGAAAACACCACCCACCTTTGTTGCTCGAGCTCCTTCAGCTTCCCTTGCGTCGTGACCAGGCGTCCACATTCATCCTGCAGGGTCCTCTCGTCGGTTCGTGCGTCTCGCCGAAGCACAGCGGCCTTGCTCTGCAGCCGCAGCACCTTTCGGTTGTGGGCCATCTTGCGCTGTGTCGCCTCTCGCTCATACCTGCCCAGGAGGAATCTAGCAAGGTTGGGGATCGTTCACTTCATAACTTGGAAAGCATGGGCTGAAAATGGCAATGCTGCAAGCTGATGGCTGCCAAGACATCGATGTCTTGGCAGCCATCGAAAGATGGACATCTCCTTTGCCATTTGTTCCCTGTTGTTCTGCAAGAAACACAGTAGCCAGAATGCTGCTAATGCAGAACAAGCCGGAAGAACCCCAAAGCAGTAAGCAGGTTCACTAAAAACACCAGTGATTAGATTGCCTGGTCATTGAAACCAGCTTCTTGCCGGGCTGTCTGAAGGGCAACATACAATCAAACTACTTGCCTTGTGACAAAGCAAACTTAACCGTACAAGTTCAGCACTAATACTGCAAATGCAGATCAAGGAGGATGGAACAGCTCTGTGGCATGTCAGACAAGCCAGCTTTTATGTCCTAGGATTCGAATCTAGCAAGTTCTGCAGTTCCTAAACTTTTGTACCTTACATCAGGTCTTAACAAGAATGCTTCCCCTTGATGTGCTGCAAGAATGCTGTCGTTGTCCTTTGGACTTATGAAAGTCCTCTCAAAAGTGACTGGAACATGCCCCATGGTCCTCAGCTCACCCAAAAGGCATACTCACAATAGGACAAGTTGATGACTTTTCCCCTCCGTGCAAAACCTTGTTCGAAAGGCCATGCAACATGCATGGAAGCACGTCCCACCCAGGCTCTTCAAACAAGGATTCAAAGTGTTGCAACACAACCAGACAACAGACCTACTACAAACGACTTTAAAAATGGCAGAAGAAACAATCCTTTCAGAGCCCAACCTGAAGCGGAAGACCCTCTTCCAGCAGCCGGGATCCTCCTTCTTGACATCCCCAGGCCATTCCTTACTCCACAGCTTGGCCCACAGGTCATTAGAGTCTGTCAGCCCATGCAAGCGCCGGCTGACAAGGCCCAGGCTGCACACGTCCCGGCACTCCCACCCAAGATTGTCAATGCCGGCGTGGAGGACTGCAAGCCAGAGCTCGTCCGGCAGGGACGACGAGTTGTCCATACAGAGAATTCAAGTTTTGCTGCTGAAAGATAAGAGGGCGCTGAGCGCTGCCCTTAAACTATGGCAAAGCGCGATGTCAAACCTTTGTTAGACCAAAGAAGGCCACAGAAGGGAAGCAGGAGCTGATGGCGCAGGGAGGAAACAAGAGCTCATGCACACGTCTGTCACAGATGAGTCACCATGACCAGTCTGGACTCTGCACAGCAAGGTGAGGGAAAAGCTAGGTATGCCAGCTGTGGAAAAAGCGCAGCCATGGCCCCAGAAAAAGTGCACGCCGTAGATCTGGCTGCCGCGTTAGAACAAGTGCCCCGCCGTCCGCTTGCTCCCCGAGAGAAGGGATCCACTTCTGAAGCATGCTCTCAAAGATATTTTGAGTTCAAACCCTAAACTTGCGATCAGAACTGAGGGGAACTGGGCCCTTCAAACCCTAATTCTCAACATCTGCCCTTGGCTCCACCTCGCAGTAGCTCTGTCTTCTTCTCTAGCTGCAAGTTTTAGGAGAGCTTCTAGGGGTATATCTATCTCTTCAAAGCGCCACAGTCACCAACTTCCTGGCATGGTACAACTTTGAGTCCTGGTCCTAGCCCTTTTGTCCAAAGATGCCGCGATCGCGGCCCCCAGTCGCCTCCGCTGCGGCCGGTCCCAATGCCAATGCGACAGGTCCAGCACCGGTAGTTGGGTACTGGCGGCATGGCAACCCCGCAGGTCGTGCGGGACACACTGCGGCGCTCTACAATGATTCCATCATCTGCTTTGGGGGTCACCTTGGGGAGAACCTGTGCTCGAGCGAGGTGCTGAGCTACAGTCTGAAGGGTGGGGAGTGGAAGCTGTTAATGGGACTGGAGCCAGGGCCGTGCGAGAGGGACGGTCACACTGCAGTCATCTGGGAGCATGGCATGTGAGTCAGCTCGCGCCAGCATCCTACTCCAGGCTTGAAATGCAGAGTCTTCTCTTGCTGCAGAGTAGCAGGAGGTTCGGAGCACCGAAGAAGGTTGATCGTTCCAGGGTTTCTGCGCAGATGAAGAGATTTAGATTCACTGTCAGTGACAGACAGGTATGGCGTGTGTGCTATGAGAAAGCAGCATTGACAGCCCATGAAGCTACCTTCTTTCTTACATGTTTGCATCCTCGGTTGGAGAAATCGACAAGTTGAACACCTCAACAAGCGACCACGCAATAGCAAGCGTTTGCACCCCTACGTATGAGCGTGCCCTTCCCCATTTGTGTTGCACACTAGCGTGAATAGTAAAGGAACCATCTCCACATGCAAATGCTCTGTCCTCTTCCACTTCACAGGTATGTGTTTGGTGGCGAGACCACGGGCACGAACGAGGAGTATCTGAACGATCTCTGGCACTTGGACCTGCGCACCTGCCGCTGGGCCCCTGTCACTTCCCTGGATGAGTCCCCCGCGCCGTGCCCCCGTCGGGGCCATGCTGCAGTTGTGGCCAAAAACTCAATGTACATAATTGCAGGGGTGAGGATGAACTTTCTTGTGTTGTTACTGGGATGTCGCCTCTATTGGTTCGGATGAAGTCTGCTCATAGCTGCGTCAAGCAATGGAGAAGCCAAATGAATATTTCATTGCCATCACTAGCAGGGTTGATTGAGGTCTGTAAAAGACAGTAGTATAGTTTTCTCACTGTCTTGACGCATGTTATTGGGAAAGGTCGCATTGGTTTCTCAAAAGAGGCAGTCTACTACGGTTTGCAAGCGAGTACTTCGAACATGCAGACTGCACCAGCGGCTTCCTCAATCAAGAGCTGATCACTTTGCTCTTTGTGAGATGTATTGCGCACTTACTCGACCAACCTGGTTCTGATCGTGCAGCACACGACCACCGGCGAGAGGCGCAATGACGTTTACAGGTTCAACTTCGAGACCATGACTTGGTCGGAAGTTTCGTCGAGTGAAAAGGTGATTCACCATGGCCTCTTAAAAATCATCGTAACTTCTTCATGATTTTGTTGCAACTTCTGGATCTTTTCAAAATATCTGACTTCGGAAAGAAGTCGTCAGGAGCTGAGGGCTGGAGATGAGGGTCGTTTGTCAAAGTAGGAACGGCTGCCTTATACGTCGATGCTCAGATTTATGGTCAAAGTATCAACTCTCGGCCCTTTGCCAGTGTTAGCAACAAGCCGAACTTGCTCAAACATTGTCAAACGTTCCTCTCTCGCTCCTCAGATGGCCCCCAACAAGCCCCAGCCGCGGTCCGGCCACTCGTGCGTAGCAGTCAACAACAAGGAGCTGATCGTGTTTGGGGGATGCCACCAGAGCCCCTATCGCCTGAACGACACCTGGCGCTTTGACATCAACCGCAACGTGTGGACCCCTGTGCTGGGGCAGGGGGATGTGCCCCCCGCCAGGAGCGAGCACACGGCAGTAGGTAAGCAGTTGTCTGTAAAAAGAAAGGACTCCGGAGTTATAGTGGTCAAGTGAGCACGTCCTTGACGTGTGGCTTTCAGGTGGTCAGGGTTATCTGTCATCTTACTCTGTCTTGTTTGAGATTGGGGCGTGGTTTCCTTTTGTGTTGCGAAGTTCATCGCCTTAGTCGGATTTTGTCTTTTGAAGACATTATGTGCTGCTTGCGACGGTCGTGAGGTCGAGTCATCGTCGCGCGCCGGGACTGGCTTGAGGAACTGGTTGTACCAAGCGCGGTGTCTCTCAATTTCCCATGGAAAGAGTCGACAAAGAGCTTCGTGGATTGCTCACATCGGCCTTTGCGCTTTGCAGTTATTGACAAGTCGATGGTAATATTCGGGGGTTGGATATCGGACGACCACGTGCCAACGGCTCTGACGGCGGCACTTAACATAGAAGTAAGCCTCTGTCTTTAAGAACCAACAACGTTTATCAGCGGCACTACACCTACAAGTCGTGTGTGGGGAAGACTCACGAGATCCTGAATCGCAGTGACTCGTTCAGCTTGCGCGCTCTTTCTTTCAGTTTAAGCATGTGTCTTGGCTGGCTCGATTTGTCTATACTCAGAGTCAAGCCTCTGACTGTGGCCAGCAAGATGTGTCACGAAATGAAAATGAGAATCCGGCTTCTGGCTGCAGACGGGGGCCTGGCAAACGGTGCACTGCAAGGAGGAGTTCCACCCCCCCGATGTTGCGGACCATGCGGGAGTCGCCTGGAACAGAGGTGCGTTGCCACGCTTGCAGTCCTTGTCGCGCGTTTCTCCTTCGGTCAACGGAGGATCAGTCTCGCAGACCTTTCTCTCTCCTCTTCTTTAAAACTGCTGAACGGCTGGCGCAAGCAGTGTTTAGATCAAGCCCGGTGAATGACGATGCCCGATGAACGGCTTTTCCGAAACCGTCACGACTTTTACCATACCAGTGTTAAGTTCTTATGGGGCGCAGTTGACTTGAGTTTTTAATCTGTTCTTGTGCAATAACCTCGAATCATCCACTCACTTCGCATCGCAGCTGCTCCACTGTTCCTCGCAGAAGCGTCGGCTTCGGAGTCGAGGCCCTTTTTGAAAGACACGAAACGAGCCCGCCCGCTGTGGTAGCAACCGTTTCTACACCGTAACAGTCTCCGTGTTTGGTTCTTGCAGGGCTCCACGTGTTCGGGGGATACCGCAATGTGGAGCAGCCAATCGAAGTAAGTCGCTGGTAACGCTTCCCTTTTGGTGGATCTGCGGCAGATCAGCTCTTGGGATGTTGCAACCTTGTCCCATGGTTGGAGGCTCCAGCGCTCTTTCTCGACGTCCTTCAAAATGGATAAGCGGGACTTTGATGAGAGGCTCACGAACTGGATCGAGTTCTGTTTGAGCAGATTCTTTTCGATCATGAAATAGGAAGCGAGGCCAGGAGCGACTCCAGAATCCATCTGAGTCCAATTGAGACAGGGTTCGCTTGCCAACTCCAGATTGATTGCTCAAGCCCAGTCAGTCGCCTTCCGCAATCTCCTCCTGCAGGGGTCACACCCAAGCCCTTTCCTCTTGCTTGCAAAATCCGAAGTCAGTCGACTCTCCTGCCTAGTTTCACCAAACTCACTGGCTTTGTTTTTGAGAGTGACCGTCTCACGCATCCCCGTCCTCCCTCGCAGTTTTTGACCGTGTTTGAGCTGGCGCTGGGCGCGCGCGGGTCCGAGGACAGCTGCAGCATGCCCCAGAAGATGCAGACGGACATGCTGCGCTCTGTCGGCGCGGACCAGTACGCGGACGTCCGGCTCGTCGTGGCGGACGGCACCCAGGTGAGGAGGGCGACCATGTGGCAGGAAGTAACCGCTTGGCGGTCGCCGCGCGTGACGCTCTGGAGAGGAATCGACAGTCCAACGATGCAGGCCGCTAAATGTTGCCCTGTGTTCCCATGTGTGCTTCTCTGGACTCGTGTGCGGCCGAGAACGGTGCGGGTTGCGCGTCCAGCCTGGTCCTGGCCGGAGAAGACCCTCGGTCAGCTCGTCAATCGATTCTGTCGCCTGATTGGATAGTTCTTCACTTGCGGGATCGGACGCTGCCTTGAAAACTCGCAGCAATCGCAATCTTCAGTCGATTGTAGATGAGAACCAGCGGTCAGTTGTGGAAAGCGGATGCTCATAGTTCTCCTGTTGGCCTATCGCTCATCCATCTTTAGGTGTACGTACGCCATTTTATCAAAAGCAGGGGCCGACGATGCTTCTACATCAGACATCGAGCTGTGCTGTCCCGCAGATCCCCGCGCATCGCATCGTCCTGGCTGCGCGCAGCGAGTACTTCCGCGCGCTGTTCGACGGCGACATGGCCGACAGCAAGGCGCCCTCCGTGTCGCTCGCCAACCTCTCGCACGAGGTCGCCATGGTATGGCCCCCATGCGCCACGTGCCCTTTTGCACTTTCCTTAACCCGTTCACCAACGGCATGACTTCTTCATCCTTCGAAGGAACTCAGAGACAGAGACAAGAAGGATAAAATCTGGAAAAGGAGACAGAGAGCGAGTGCTCGACGATTCTCTACGGTAATGACCGGTCCTCATTGCAAGGGGACGGCCAGGGAGCTGAGAAATAGCGAGGCCTGTTTGGGGGAGCGCTTGATGCTATCACATTGCCTCAAGAGGAAGGATTGTAATCCAAAAAGGACGGTCAAAACCCTTTTTGACATCTGTTTCGAGCTCTCTCGTAAAGCGGATGCTTCTTCAGCGGGACGAGGTGGATCCACGCGTCCCCTGGAATTGTTTGCGAAACCCTTTTGAAAGAGCATCTCCATTGCGTCAGATAGGGGCGCCCTCTCTTTTTAAATCGCCCGGATTGTCCGCTTGTCATCGGTCGTAACCTTCGTTCTTATCACCAATGCGGCTGTCGATCGTGCATCGTGCTGGCTTTTGGCGCTAGTAAGGCTACCAGGCCTTTGCGTGAGGACACGTGTCTGTCCGTGAGTGGCTCAGCGAGCCCTCGGTCCCCGCAGGTGGTGCTCCGCTTCATGTACGGCGGAGTGGTCGAAGTGTCACCCGACCTGCTACTCGAGGTGAGGCACATCGATCGTCATTAGTTATGTCCAACTTTTCCGGCAACGCTCGGAGGGCAATCTACGAAAAGCGCTGTGTTCACCCAAGCTGAGGGTGGGTGTGTGACACGTGTATCCTCTCTTCAATCCGACGATGCGGAGCACTGCTGCCGGCGCCTTCGAAAACCTGTTTGTGGTATACTGGCATCGTCTTGTCCACGGATGATGTCCGTCGAGTTCTGACGCCCACTGCAAGGGCTGCGTTAGTGGCGGTATCCGGTTGGCGAAGCAACCACTGGGTTGAAGGCGCAGCATGACCCGAGCAAGTTTTTGATTTGGACGCTCAAGTCTTTTGACCGCCTTGAGGGAGCTTACATTCCCCGTCGTTTGGTGACCGGGCAATAAAGGCGTGGGAAGATTCATTTGCGGGCTTAGGCTGCCTGTGGGTGCTTTCATTATCTTTGAGCACTCCTCCGAGCCACCTCCAGTCCGCTTCTGTGGCGGAGGTACTGCTGGCGGCAACACACTGCTGATGGACGTCCGAGACCGCTCGGAATGATTCTCTCGGATGTCAGAATCGTCAGGCACTGTCCGATGCTGTCCGAGAAATTCTGACACTCTCCCGGCGCAGGTACTGGCTGCGGCCAACATGCTGCTAATGGACCGTCCGAAACTGCCCAAAAAAATTTCAGAACTGTCGAAATTGTCCGAAAGCGTCCGGTAGTGTCCGTCATCAAATTGACCACTTTCACGGCGCAGGTGCTGGCTGCGGCCAACATGCTGCTGCTGGACGAGCTGAAGGCGGAGTGCGAGGTGCGGCTGACCAAGAGCGTCACGGTCGACAACTGCTGCGCGCTCCTTCAGAGCGCCGACACGCACGAGGCGCGCGCGCTGCGCAGCCACTGCCTCAGGTGGGCGTGTGCGCGCGGTCTCGAAAAACGCTCTTTAGTTCGGAACGGTCTTAAAGTTGCCCCTTCGGAACGGGTGGGTAGTTTGGGGGTTGTCTGGGTACGGGTATGGAGCAGGGGAACCTCCGGTTTGCATATGTGTGGCTGCTTACCTAGTCTTGATGTTGAGACCATTAGGGTTTCTCGAAGGTGTTGCGCATCCGCTGTTTCCTGCGAACACACTAGACGGCCGTAAGTCTCAGAGAGAGCGGCGAGAACCATGGTTTTGGCCGCGACTGCAAGGCAGCTGTTGCCCCGGGATGGTCCCTGAGAGTCTGATCACGTGGCGTTTACAAGCGGTTGCACAGGCATAGGCATACGTACTTTCAGTTATCAGTTATCAACAGGGAAGCGGTCACACAAAGCCCTTCGTAGGGTTTTCAGGACTGATATCAGAGGATGCTACAGCGCAGTCGACCTCGTCTGACGTTCTAGCCATATAAGTCCCTTTCCTTTACAATCCAAGCCTTCCAAAGAACAAGACATACGTCCTTTTTGGTGAAGGGAGTTTTTGTCGGTATCAGTTCGTGAAAACAAAGGAAGAATCAATGGGTGAACACAATGCGCGAGGACCTTCGCTGTGCTGGCTCGGTGGTGAGAAAACGATTAGAGTCCAGCCCTTTCTCTTTCTGCAAGCATCCAAGACACTGGATCAAGCTTGTCGCGTGGTTTTACCGACTTTTGCAAACCCTGCTTTTCGCGCAGTTTCGCGGTGCAAGAGTACGAGGCGGTGGTTCAGGGCCAGGGGTACGCCGACCTATTGGAAGCTGCCCCCCCGCTAATGCTGGAATTGCAGCGTGCACTCGTGCCGCGGTTGCGCACGATGTCAGCAATCACGTCGCTCCAGCGGGGACGCAAGCGGCGGCATACGGAGGCTGAGTCGTGAGCGTGGGGAGATAGTTGTCCCTATTTCGGGTAAGGTGGGTGAATGTGTTCTGCTGTGGAAAGTTCCAGGTGATTGCATGCCGAATCTGGCGTGTGTTATCAGGTATGGTCGCCGGGTTTTGCATTGGGGTAGGTACGTAGCACTAGGACTGGAATGAGTCTTGAAAAAGGTGAGGTATAAGTTGGGTTGGTCGTTCTCAAAGGTATGCAAGCTTTACGGGCGTATCATTGAGTCTATGTTCAGTCCTTAAGTCGGAGTGGTGCCAAGGATCCATCCTTAGCTAAGGCATAGGGTCCGCAGCCGAAGAGATCATGACATAGGTACTCTTACAAGCGACATATGGTAGTTTAGCCCGACCCGGTCTTTGTGGGTTGCTCTTGAACCCACGTTCATACAAGATCTGCTTGTCTTACCAAGCTAGGCCGTTCGGACATTCACTTGTTAAGTACACTGGCACAAATCTGCTATTTGCAATCAGTCAATGCGTCGTAGGTGACCAAGGAATCATTTGCTTCCTAGGCATCATTTGTCATGCATGGGCAAACATGACGCCTGCAACTCCCTACATTACAAAAGATGCATCCCTGTCAGCTTCCCTCCGTGTTAGTATATATATGCTTCCCAAGTTGGTGTGCGTGCGCGATCGATCAAGCCGTCTGAGTACAGGGTAGACCATGGCATAAAGACGGAAACACCGTCAGGCTCAAATTTGCAGACTGCATAATACCCGGTGCTAATGCAATGCAGTATTCTACCTAGCACCATGAGTTGCACCCGGCGGAGCATATACACGTGACCAGCCTGCTTTCATCCAGTCGGCTGCCTTAGCTGCGGACTCCATACAGCGAACTTAGCTACTTAGCTAGAGCAAATGACCACCACGCATGCACAACAAACATTCGTGGATACCCTAATCGACCTGAATGTCTACCGAAGTTCGTGGCATCGAACGGGGGGGGCTATTGCCAGGAAATGGCAAGCTAAGTCAATATTGTTGTTGTCGAAGGCCCACAATTATAGGCTTGCGAAACCACATACGTTAAGAACAGATTGAGGGCGACCGCGTTCCTACTTAGTACTTGGCCGCCTAGCTCAAGACCTTTCGACTTTCCTGCTCAAACTTACTTTGACATGTTCTTACAAGAGTTCGCGCACTTGACCCAATACCGCGCTGTGTTCGTTGCTTACTAGCATCGACGCGCTCAACGAGGTGTTGAGAGCGTGTGCTGGGTTCGTTGGCTTTCTCCTTGCGGCGCTAAGCTAACCGGCGGGGTTCCTACAAATTTCTACTATTATCTATACTGATGGCTCCTCTCGCGAATCTATTACGTGTTTTTCCCGAAATTAACCATTACTCTATCCGACATTGTTCTTACACAAAAACGCGGCAACTTGCTAAATTGGGTTATAGCTTACACCAAAATCGCAAGCCACGAGGTGTGGCTGCACGAGGGGCCTCCGAATCCTCGAAGAATCGAGTCGGACACGCGCCCAAAGAATCTTCCCATTTGACTTAGCCTAGCTAGCTACAAAGAATCAGGTCTACCTATCGGCGGTGCCCGCTTCGGGGCTGGCTCTTGTGAAGAATTCGAATCCGAGGTGCTCATTTGGCCCTTTTCCGCCGAGTTACTACCTCAACTTACATCACGTACACGGTCCACAGACCCATAAATATCCTGGGCTGACTTCTGTCCTCCGCTGATTGTGGACGTGTCCCGAACGCGAGCTCCTGGTCGTCTCGAAGAAGAATCTACCCCCCAAAATAAATAGGCCGGGTCGAGCGAATAAGTTGGCACGCTTTGCTTGTGTACAAGGCCTTTACCTCAGCCTCAGGGGCCTCGGAATGCACGGCACCCGAGGGGGGGGGTTGGCCGGCGGAGGCGGATTCAGCAGGGGGGGGGGAGGAGCCAAGGGTGTACCAGGGGGGGAGAGCGCCGGAGGGGGAGAGGCCGGAGGCGGGTTGTTGGGGAGGGGGAGGGGATTGGGGGAGGGGGCGCGGTCCGGGGGGCTGAAGACGCCCGGGGGGCTGAAGACGCCCCGGGGGGGTAGGGATTCTCGGCGGGGGAGGAGCGTTCGGGGGCGGGGGGGAGCGTCGCAGTAGACAATGGGGGGGGCCGAGGTGGATGTTGGCTCCGGGGCGAAAACGTCCGTGACGGGGGCGCTCGTGGGGCTGGGGGTCTGCGGGGGGTTGGTGGGGGCGTCGGTGGGGGCGTCGGTGGGGGCTGGAGGAGTGGGGGTTTGAGTAGGGCGGAGTGGGGGTTGCGGGTAGGAGTTTGAGTAGGGGCAAGGGTAGGAGC